ATGTTCTCCTTTCCTGCTGGCTGTGCCCACTGCCCGTTTCTGGTGTCATCTTTTCCTTGTGCTGTATATCCTAGGCCTGCATGTTTCCTGCCAATGTATCCAGGAGATGAAGCCTGTTTTAGGAAAGGCATGTCAAAAAGCTGAACCAAAACCAGTCTTGGTTGACAAGATGAAGTAGAGGGATTTTGGGTGTGAATCCATCCATTGGAGCCTGTGTGCAATAAGTGGGGTGGGGCCTGTGAGATCCAGGCCTAAATCACCACTCATCCTAGGAGATATTTCCGTTACTTTTGGCCTGTCACTCACACTCTAACCGACCTGAAGGGTTGTTGTTGTCAGGAAAAGCATGGAGAGGAGAAGACTGCAAACTGCTTGCTTTCCTCATGCATGGAGAAGGGCACTGTGCATGATATTAGTGCAATGTGATATTATGGATAATTTTGATAGTGATGGTGAGAATACTGGTAGAAGTACTCTATCATGAAAATTCAACAGAATAGCCTTAGTGAGCACTCATGGACCTGGTGGGCAACCCTGTACCCATTGTGAAGGTTTTGCATTTCACGGCATATTGAGACATGCATGGAGAAAGCCCTGGGCTGGAGTCACAGGTTTGGCGGCCGTGATGTGCAAAAGTGGGACCATGAGCCATTGGCAGCCAGTTTGAGGCTGCTGGGGAGAAGTAGGCACCTTGAAGGATTTGGCAGCCCCTCTGAAAAGCAGGCAGGCAGCCCCTGCGGAGATCCAAGTGTGGATGAGGCAGAGGTGCAGCAAGAGTGTGAGGCCCTCCTGTTCCCTCATGTGCTGCTGGGATGTTTCCTCCAGGAGTCTCTTGGCTACTAACCAGGTTTACACACACTTTTACAAAGCTGAGACTCTGGTCCCTTTGAATGGTTTCATTAGTTTTTGAACTAGGGTCACCAATGTGGATTTATGGGGGTGGTGTGGATTGTGGGGGAGGCAAATTTCATCTGATAAGCAATTTTATTGGTTTAACTGCATTGTGTTTTATTATGTATAATGATATTTTATTTATTTATTTTTCATTTTTTTCCTACAAAGGGCTCAAGGCAGCTTACATCATTCTCCTCCTCCATCTTATCCCCACAGCAACAACCCTGTGAGATGGGTTGGGCTGAGAGTCTGTGACTGGCCCAAAGTCACCCAGTTGGCTCCATGGCTGAGCGGGGACTCGAACCCAGATCCTCTGAGTCCCAGTCCCACACTCTTAACCACTACACCACACTGGCTCTCGCTGATATTATTATACCATTGTATTTTTAACAGAGAGCTGTTTTAATTGATTGTCAATTGTTTAAATGCCGCTTTTGAGAGTTTGCTTGTTTTGTTTTTATATCCAATTATGAACCACCCAGAGAACTGCAGATCCAGGTGGCATGGAAATGTAGTAAATAATACAACTGCTGCTAAAACTAATTTGAAAAAAAAAAAAAAATCTGTGACATATTGAGGGAAGGTGTCAGGAACAAAGTGCAGATCTATTATTTTTCAGTGGTTGCAACTTGCTTTTCATGTTCTGTTTGTCATTTATAATTTGGCAGCACTGCAAGACTCATCCATTCAATCTTGGATCCTGGGTTTTATGTGGCTTGCTCCATGGGTATGATTTGACCACTTGCTGGATCCTGAGACTTATCATGTTGGCATGTTTGCCTTGTGTTGCTCCTTTTTAACAGTTCAACAGAGAGGGCAACTCTGTGTTCCCATCTCTGGGGAATAACGGGACACCTTGCCATTCGCCTGTTGCAGTAAAGCTTTTCCAGCTCCACTCCAGCTCCAGAATGCCAGTAAACAGGGGCTGTGTGGGCCAAGCACTGCAGAGATGCCTGATTCAGCAATGAAAAGCCTCAGAGCTTCATAGCTGCTGGGGCCGAGTGGGCAACCAACATCCAGGGAGGTCTGTTCCCCAGATGGGACACAGAGTTTGTGTTGCTGAAGCATCTGTGCTGAGTAAGGCTCCATCCCACATTGCTGGGTGGTAACTGGAAACCAGCACCATCTCTAGAGGGAAGGGCCATATTCTCAGCGAGGAGAATGAAAACTGTCCCAAAGCCATGGTGTTTGGAACTGCCACCTAGTGGTGATTTTGCTCTTGCTCTCCACCTAGAGCATGGGTCCCCAAACTATGGCTTGGGGGCTGGATTCGGCTGGCCATGCCCATTTATCTGGCCCACCAATAGAGGTTTTGGACTCGCTGCTTGCGCACGCATTTGCGCATGCTTCGTGAGGTGGTGGCTTGCTCACAAGGAGATCGTTTTGGACTCGCTAAGAGAAAACTGGCTTTGCGAGCAAGCCAGTGCCTTGCCATAAGGAGGCTTGTTTGCAAGGAGATCATTTTCTCCAAGCAAGTCCAAAATGATCTCCCTGCGAGGAAGCTGGTGTCTCTCCATGCGGTGGCTTGCTCGCAAGGAGATTGTTTTGGACTTGCTCAGAGAAAATGATCTTTGTGCCCGCCCCGCCTTGCCATGCAAGCGCATGCCTGTGCACCCCCTCCCCGGCCCAGACCAGCCTGGCCCATTTCAGCCCACACCCCCTATCCACATCAGTTTGGTGGCCCGCACCCATCTCCAGCACCTTTCAACTGTCCCACTGTTGAAAAATTTTGAGGACCCCTGACCTAGAGAGTCTCTCTGGACTACTCCCAGGCTTGTAAAAATACATACATAATTCCATATAATTTATAAACTGAGATTGTGCCCTTTTTGGATTCTGGTCATATCAGAAATGGAATATAATGTGACATTATTTATTTATTTATTTATTAAAACATTTTTATGCCGCCCCATTCGCCGAAGCCTCGGGGCGGCTTACAATTATCTAATCCATTACTTTGCATTAATGTAACACAATATATTACATTTAATATATTGGTGCAGTTGTGCAGACCCCAGAGATTGGGACCATAAGCAGATGGAAGAGAAATGAGTTTTATCATCAAGGGCATTAGAAACAAATCTGCAATTGCCTGTAAGGTGAGGTGTCTTGGGGGCTCCAGAGAGAAAGGACAGGGTGGATTTTGCACCCATGAAAATGCTGTAGATCCAGGGGACAGCCTAGCAGGAACCTGGCCCAAGGCCGTGTGAGTTGCCTCCTCTAAACTGTCCAAACTTACAGCCTCAGAGATGCCAGCAGAAGCAGCCATGGCCTCCTGATGCTGGGCACCTGGAGCAAAGGAATGTCCCTAAGGTTGGTGGACCCTGCCTGGGGCAGATCAAGCCAGGAGGGAGGGAGGGAGGCTCTTTGCTCTTCTGCTGTGAGGTTCTGCTTGGTTGCTGTTGCTCCCTGCTGAAGTTTGCTGTGCTACCTTCACATCCTGAGCCTTTGGAAGGTCAATCCTCTGGCTGTAGAGCTGAGACTGGAATTTGGGTTTCTTGCTTCCTGGCTGAGTGGGTCAAGTGGCCTGGGGAGCTGAGGGTTCTCAGCTGGCTGCCTGCTGAACACTGCTGCTGCCCAATTTCCCCTTCCCTGCCCCTTCCTCTATTTTGCCCTGTTTTGTCCTTTCTGCCTGGATGCTTCAGAGCTCCCCACCCCTAGTTTCATCCCTTTAATACACTGCTCTGTTCCCCCAGCTTGGGAGTGGTGTGCCGAATCCAGAGGCAGGCCCTGGATTGATGGAACAGGGAAGATATAGGTGGAAGTTGCCTAGTTGGCTGACCATGCAAAGAATGGGAGGGAGTCAGATCCTCTCCCCAGCAAGGAAGCAAATGCACCCCTTCCCTCTTTTGCACTTCAAAGGCAACCTACAACTTGCAGGGAGGAAAAAAGGGACCAAACAGGAGTCCCCCGAGCTGAAGAATTGAACTGCGTCAGGGAAGGCCTGAAGGGGACTGGAGCATCTTCTGAGAGGCAGTGTGGCCTGGTGGGTGGAGTGCCAAATGGAAGCCCTGGGAGGTCTCAGTTACACTTGGGTCTTTGGCAAGAGGGGAAAAGGCAGGGAAATATATGCAGCATGAACACAAAATGCCCAGCCCCAACTTCCTCTCTCCTCTGCTTCTCTGACTTGCTCCTTTTTCTCCCTCAAAATCAATTTTGGGACTGACATAGTTCCTTCCATCCAGGCTGTGAGAGGGCAGGTTGACCCCCCCTGAGAACAAAAACTGCTGGCCTGTAAACATTCAGGGGGTCAGAGAGCCAGTTGCCTCCCACATGGCCTAGGAAGTGCTGGGCAGGAGGTGAAGCGGCCTTCCCCAGCAGTTCCCAACCATGTGGCTGCTCTGCAGAAGGAGTCTGAGCCCAAGGCAAGGCCAGGGTTGCTATTTCAGGACAAGTTCTGCTTGATTGCTGCTCTAAAAAGAGGTGAAATCAACCCCTGGGGCAGTGTCCCTGCTGACTCTGAACTCTCAGGGCTGGGAAAGTAGTTCTTCAGTCCTTCCTCATTTCAAGCAAGACATTCCCTCCTCCTGATCTTTTTTTTCTTGCTTTCAATAGCAGTCCTAGGGACCACCCAGCAGCTCTGGCAGGTTGCCTGTGGCGGTTCAGGTTTGCAGCCAAGCATGTGTGCAAGCACCTCCATGGTAATCAGCCCTGAGCAGGCTGGGAAGGGAAAGGATCCAGAATGCTGAACAAAACTTCATCGAGGAACCCTCACACCCCCACAAGAATGCCACCCTGGAAAACATGCTGGAAAAACTCCTGGGAGAATGGTGACTTGAAATTTTTAAAAGCTATGAAGCTGCATTTTAGTAACCCTGACAAGTTCTGATCAACAAGAATTTTTATCCTCACACTTCAAAAAATTGCATGAAAATCTCAAAGACTGCAAAAAGAACCTCTTAATAGAAAACAACAAACACAAAAAAGCACATGTTTCTTCCATGTATATGAAATGGACCTTTTATTTTTCCCAAGTACAAAATATGCAAAAGATCCCCCCCCCCCCATTTGGTCCATTTCCATACTGTCCATATACCCAAAGTGAATCTCTGGGCTGTTGACAAAATTCAGATTCTTGAGCACGTGATGAACAATACAAAGAGAACTTAGGCTTTGTTTTTCATCGTGAGATACTCCTTGGAATTCAGGTCAGGCCTCAGTAGGATAATGTAGCACTTGGGGAGGAAGATGCAGCCCAGCAGCCCAGCACTGGAGACCAAGATGGAGAAGACCTGCACGGCCACCATGTACTTTCCCCTGGTGCTCAGGTAGGTGGGCACAAAGGACACCCAGACGCTGCAGAAGACCAGCATGCTAAAGGTGATCAGCTTGGCCTCGTTGAAGGCCCCGGGCAGCTTCCTGGCCAGGAAGGCCACCGTGAAGCAGACGGCAGCCAGGAAACCCATGTAGCCAAGGACAGAGTAGAACATGGCCACAGAGCCTTCATTGCATTGCAGGATGATCTGCCCAGGCTGGGAGTGCATGTCAGAGTCTGGGAAGGGTGGAGAGGTCTCCAGCCAGATGGTGGAGAGGACTACTTGAATGCTGGAACAGGAGATGACTATGGAGTTGGCCAGACTCCTCCCCAACCAGTTCCTTGCCCTGTTGCCTGGCTTGGTGGCCAGGAAGGCCAATACCACAGTGACAGTTTTGGCCAGGAGGGAAGAGGTGGCCACTGAGAAGACAATGCTGAAGGCTGTTTGTCGGAGGAGGCAGGTGATGCGTCTTGGCTGGCCAATGAAGAGGAAAGAGCATGTAAAGCAGAGCAAGAGGGAGACAAGCAGAATGTAGGAGAGGTCTCGGTTGTTGGCCTTGACTACTGGGGTTTCTTGGTATTTCCTGAAGATTCCCAAAATGCTTCCTGTGGCAATGGAGAAGAGTAGGGCCATGCCAGTGAGGACGATCCCCAAATATTCCTCATAGGAGAGGAAGGTGATAACCTTGGGGATGCACTGATCCCGGGCCGTATTTGGATGCTGATCTTCTGGACACTTCAAGCAATGCTCTGCATCTGTTGAAAGCAGGAGAAACAGTAAACTGACATCCCTCAATCTGATGTGGGGTAATATAGAGTGCTTTTCTGCTGGGCAGGGACAAGGTTGGCCCCTTCATTCTGCAAAGTTCCCAGTTAAATCAACAAGGCAGCCTATAACTCCAAGGCACTTTGCAAAAGGAACAAAGATAGTATTCTTGCAATCTTGAATGAGTTTAGGCACCAGAAAATGACGGACCCTGTCAGGAATGCCATTCCTTGTGCATCTTAATGGAGTGAGGTGAACATCCCAGGATCAATGTGGGGCACCCATCTATACCTGGAAGTGCAGAAAGGTTGTGCAATGTGGTGGTGTGTATCCCTGGACCATCCATTGACGCACCACAAACCCACATAGAGGGCAACATCAACCAGCATCAGAATCCAGGTTGAAATTATTTAGCAAAAGCCTAATAATGTTGCTAAATGTGTAGAATGTAACTGGATTTGTGCAATTCCTCTCTGACTGCTCATTTGTCCATCATGGTTTTCACATTACACAGAAGCTCTTGTGAGGGTAACATTGAGAAGAGGAGGGGAATTGCAGGAACCACCTGACTGTGCACCTGAAAGGTTTCTATTAGAATAGCACTGGGAGGAGTGGGAGGAGTGCTACACAAACCACCTGGAGTTTCTTGAAAGAACATGGCTGGATATAAAGAAACTTGAAACAGAAATGCAGGAAGCATATCATGTGGCACCCATAGGCTTTGGCAAATGGGGCGGTATAGAAATGTTTTAAATAAATAAATAAATAATATTCAGTATACATGAAGGCACCTTCATTTTAATACCTTTTATGCCTTGCTTTTTACTGTTAGAAAAATATAGAATAACATGGAACTCTCCAGTTATCTTGGGCTCCAAGCAAGCATATCATTCTCCTGCCCTTTTCAGAAGTTCTTTATTTATTTATTTAAAACATTTCTATGCCGTCCTCGTTGCAACAAAGCCTCGGGGTGGCTCACAACAATATGAATCTGCTGAATATGCTGAATCCCAAAATGCACATCTGCAGATCCAACCCATATGTCCTCCTTCCCATTTGTCAAATTAATAGGCGAATCCCCCATACCCCAAACATCACTGGAAGCATTGTTTGCTTAATCCTTTGAACCGACCCAGCCTACTCAGCATCCTCCCTGAAGGCAAGCTGTGCAATGCCAGCAAGAGGAGAAGTCCTCTTTCAGCTCTTCAGCTCAGACGCTTCAAAAGCTCCTCATGCTCAGGAATATTCCTTCTCTGAAAGCCACCCGCATCTCCTTGTGGGAGCTAAACACTGCACACTTGGTTCCATTAAGGGGAGGGGAAAAACTGCACAATATGTTTGGCTTCACGTGCCAAGATGTCATGAGGGGAACTATGGAGGGAGATAGAATGTGTACTGACAAAAGAGCATGAACAAAGTGGAAGGCAAATTTTTTGGAGTGATGGAAAAGACAAGGAGGGATGCAGGGGCAGTTGTGGGCACGGGATGCATAGCCAAAAGAGGTAGCAAACAGAAGACATGCTGACAATAGACAGAAGGCCAAGGAGAACATGGCTGCTGAAGCAATGATGAAATGAGGAATTCTGGGAAGCACAGAACAACAAACAGGAGGTGGCCCATTCAATGCTTCCAGGACTGGAGGGGTGGAGTGACTAACACCACCGCAAGGAAGAAGAGTATCTGCTCTAACACTTGAGACAAAGCTCAGCAAACCTAAATTCTTTTCAGGGTTGCAGACCACGCTGCAAACCATCCAATATCATGTTTGGATCATTTTCTTCCTCCCAGGCAGTGCCTTGTTCTCTACATTCTCCCACCTTCTTGATTGGAGATGGTCCCTTCAGGGCATGGAGCACAGTCATAGCAGCAAACAGGCTTTCCTTCTTGAGCCACCTTGAAGAATCCTGGGCAGCAGCTCTCCACACACCTGGCCTGGGGCAGGGGCTGGGCGAGAGAGAAGGAGCATCAAGGGAGGAGGGTTCAGGATGTGGACTGAGGAGTTGGAGGTAGAAAGGACAGATGAAGAGTTCCTCCAATGTATCAGTGGATTCCATATGTGAACTCCCCTCTGTGAAACTCAAGCAGCGGGACATTCCCTCTAAGTGAAATGCATCACACTTATTTACTACTCTTTTTAATTAGTGTGCTATTTAATTAATAAATTTATTCCTGTACATCCATTACCCAGAATGCTAGAGGAGGGATGGGACATGGAGATAAGGAAATGAAGGAGATAGTTTTCTTCACCTGATCTTGCCATCGGGGCCACACAATGGGATCTTGGTGGATGGTGAATTTGGGGCTAGGCAAGCCCTGTCTTTCTAGACTCCCAACTTTCACTCTTACAGCAGTCTTGTTGGGAAACCTCACCCAATTCACAAGGTCCAAGTTCATGGCCAGGTCTCCATTCTGATCGAAATACACTCCATCTATAGAATGATTGTGAAACTGGGGGTTTCTCAGGAAAGAGTGGAGCTGGAAGAACAGAGAAAGAACAAGCATTTGAAAAGACACATTCCATGGTCCAGTTTTTGCTAAGTGCTGGTTCCAGTTAATGTTGCTGGTTATGGCTCTTTTATGGACATGTTTTTTATTTAATTGCTGGATGCCCATGGTCTGCCTTAGGAATTTAGGGAAAAGAGAATAGAAGCATCATCACTGAAGGGAAAGGAAGTGCATCTTCTCTGAGTGCAACATATCAGAAATCCTTAGAGGCCGCAAATGGACAGTTCTGCTCCAGAGCCTGCAGTCCTTCACAGATGGTCCTGGGAGTTTATTTTATTGTACTTCATAGGATTTATTCCTGAGAAGTCTCACAGGAATCCCAGAAGAGGCCATTTGGAAGGGACCAAAAAGGGCTTCTTGTCATTTGAGGTTTTTGTTCCACGTTCTGCACTCTGGGATGATTAAGCAGAGAGTACTTGAAGAGTTCTGTCCTATCTCCCCTCAGTCTATTCATCTCCAGGCTAAACATGCTCAGTTCATTCAATCTCTCCTCATATACCTTTTTTCCAGTCCACACATCATCCCTGCTGTCGTCCTCCTCTGAATGCTTTCCTGTTTCTTCTACTGGGATGTTTTGAAATCTTTCTTTCTCTTGTTCTCTCTTTCTTCCAAGGTATTAGCTAGCCTATCCCCTTTTGCAAGATCTGTAGTTCTGATCAGCATTAGATCATTACTCATTAAGATCATTAATACAAATGCTGAGGAGCACTAGGCCACAGACTGAACCCTGAAGTACCCAAAAATGTATTTCTTCTTGGTCTGAAAATGGGCCATTGATGAGCAAACTTGAGTACAATTCTATAGCTAAGTGTGCATCCAGCTGAGAGTTATTCTATCCCACCTGTTTGGAGCTAGTTTGCTAATTGCGATAACATGGGGCACTTGGTCCAAAGCTTTGCTGAAGACCAGATATATGATATCTGCAGTATTCCCACAGTTCACCAGGGAGTTTACTGAATCAAAAGCAAAATCTGATTTAATGAGAGGATTTCTAAATACTAATCCATACAGGTTTCTTTCAATGTGTCTAAATATCAACTGGTTTACAATAGGAACGCTGGGTGGCATTCGTGGTCCCAATTTTCAAAAAGGGTATTAGAGGGGACATGGGGAATTTTGCATCAGTTAGCCTTACATCCATTCTAGGAAAGGCAATGGAAAGGCTCATAATAGTGAGAGATCGAGATAGATAGAATTTGATGGCTAGGCAACACATTTTCTGCAAAAATAGGTCCTGCCAGATGAACCTTGTTGAATTCTATGACAAGGTTTAGATGTGGCTAAATGGAGGGGTTGTTTGGGGTGTGGATTACTTGGATTTCAGTAAGGCCTTTGACCACATGCCATATGATATCCTTGTTGAGAAACTGAAGAGTTTGGTGATAGATCAAAGCACTGCCCGATGCAGTGAGGCATGGCTGACAGACTGAAAGCAGAAGGTACCTATTAGTGGGGAATCATAGGAATCGCAACTGGTGATGAGTGGGGTCCCTCAGGGCTCTGTCCTTGGACTGTTCCTCTTCAATCTTTCATCAATGACCTGGAAGTGGGGGTGACCAGTCTGCTGATAAAATTTGCAGATGATACAAAAATGTAGGTGGGAGCTTGTGCTTGTTGCAGTGGAAGAGACCAAAAGAGGAACCAGAACAGAGAGTGTTACAGCTGCTCCTTAATTTGGAAAATCCCATCTTAGTGTCTCACACTCTGAATTCAATTCCAAAGAAGGGGAGGGAATACCTGCCATGGATGAAGCCAGTGCACACCTAGCCTGCCTCCATGTTCCACATACTTCCTCTTGGTTCTTGAGGAAACAGCTGCATCCACAGCACGGGCCACAGCCTGGACTGCTGTGTAAGAGAAGAAACTGTCCAGAGATTGTGTTTGCTCCTTGACCAGTTGGGGCAGGTCCTCCAGTTTCTCTTTCTCTCTGCATCTTCTCCACTCTTTCACTGACAGCACATGCGTTGAATATGAACACTTGAATGCTGTCTTCACATATTCCTTCATAGCAGTATACAAATCTTCAAAACTATCATAGCTGGTCCTTTTACTAGTTTGGGGAATGAAGGAAAAATATGCACAGACATGCTGGAAATCAAAACCTGTATAAACTAAAGCTAAGGTAAAATCATACAAAGTTGTGGTGATCCAGACTTTCCCATTAACAGGCTTCCTAAACATCTCAATGACTCTTTCTACAATCCGTATTCCATAGAACGAGGAAAAGAACTCTTTAAAATAAACAAAGGCATCGATTTCTAGCAACTTCTTCAGTGACTGAAGTTTCATTCCTGCGTTGCCCAATTTCAGTTGTGGAATGCTGTGTGAAAAAATCACGCAAATGCCATTCCTGAGGAGCTCCGGTTGCAAGGTTCTCATGAACTTGTCTCCATTCTCAGTGTCCAGTGCAAAGAGACCAACCATCATCCACCTGAAGTGCAGCAGCAGGCTGACAATCCCTGGGTACTGGATGCCTTCTCCAGGGACCATCCTGTAGAAGGAAAGGGACTGACTTTTTTCTCTAATAACCTGAGAAGTGAATGCATAAGTGACCTGGGAAAGAAAGGAAGATACTGATGGATTGCTCCATTTCAGCACCATATCAAAGTTCCTCAACTCATGAGAATATGCCACTCAACCTTTCTGAAACATGAGTTAATAGGAACCAATGCTTATGATTTTCTGAAAAATGAGTGCTCCATTACACATGTTTACAACACTGACATTTGGATGCTGGGAGCAGCCTGAACTCGTCAGCATCTCCAGATTTTCCAGCCTGGAATACATGTTCCTGCACTTCTTCCCATTAATGGGAGAAGAATTAATTCATAGGGTTTGTTGAACACAGATGTGGTGGACACCTTCCTGGGTTCTCTCAATCTTCCTTGCCCTTCCACTTGGGATGCATGGGAAAGGAAAGGAAACTACCTTGGATGTCCATGAAATGATTGACCCTGAAGTGTAGAATTACTTGCTAAGCATCTGGTCCCAATGAACACAACAACTTTTCCCAAATGACAAAACAATGAGAGTCAATCATATATGGTTCTATAAGAGAGACATAAAACAGTAGAAGATAAAAGCCTCTGCCAAAAGGTCAAAATATGTAAAAGATCAGCCTAGAGCCACTTGATTTGACTTGAGAAGTGCAGCTTAACCTAACTGTGTACAAAAGTAACATGCATGATGTTCTCTCTGCATCTAATCATTGCAAAGAGCTGCTCCCATAAAAGCACTGTGCATGATGGCTGTGACAGCAGATTCGAACAGGAGAAGGGCTCACTCTAAATTAGAAAGTTAGGAACATAAAAAGAAAGTGAGATAGAAGCAACCTCGGGGGCCATCTAGTCTGACCCCAGCTCCACCCAGCTGCACTCATTTAATCCCTATCATGTGGCCATTACTAATGTGACCTTTCTGGTGACCTTGCTGGCATGGCCAGTCTCTTTCATGGTCAGACAATGAGCAAGAGGGACCTTTTCGTTGATACTCAGCATGAGCAATACCAGATGGGTGACTGGTGTGGGGCAGAGGGGGCTTTAACTCTTGGGATTGAGTGGGATGGTCTGTTGTCCTGGAATGGATATCATGCATGTAAATGATTTGGAGAAGCTTTTGTTTTCTCTGGATGACACCTCATATTTCTTCTCCCAAGCCTCCCACCTGTGGGATTTTGAAGATGCCCAGCATGTTGGAAAGCTGCCTGGAGTTGTCCGAGTAAGATTCTTCAAGGATGGCCAGCAGATGATTTTGCCTGCCACACTTGTAGTTGGGAACGTGGGCCTGAGAGGTCGACAGCAGATCTATGGCTGCATCGGATGTCAGTCTAACATCCTGAAGGCTGTCATACATGTTGTAGCCCAGGGTAAGGTTGGGCAAGAGGCTGGGATTCTGGTTGACTTCCTTGATGGCAAACAAGAAGGAGAGGATCTTCCAGTAATATGTGGCTGTCCTCCTGAAAAAAAGAAAGCAAACCCTGCCATCCCTGCTCATGAATAATTTGGCTGCTCTTTAAGGTTGCATCCTGCTTTCCCAGGCTTCCACACCCTCAGTCTGGTACCAGCCCAAACGAATGACCGAACAGCTCATGGATTCCCTGAACAAGGCAGGCCAATTTCTGGTCTGTGTCCAGATCCATTCCACATGACAAGACGCCTGCAGTGAAGGAGAACATCCTAGGCAGCATCCCAGCAAGGGCAGCCATTCACACAGATGGGTATGGGAAGGCAGAGGAGTGCAAAGGCAAGGAAGGACCCTTTCTGGGTCCAGGGCCCACCCATTACCCTCGACTCCCCCCTGGGCTCAGCTCCCTGAGTCTGCTGGCTTGGCGTTCATGAGGGAGAAGCTAGCTGGGAGAAATTGCTCAGGCTTTGCTCGTGGCATTTTGTTGTATCGGTTCAGGCAGGCCAATGACTTACGCAATTTTTTCA